GTCTGTGAGAGCCAAAATTCTTACTGGTTGATAGATGATCAAATACTTATTTCACACAATAAAATGGAAATTAATTACACTGCTCAAAAAAATAAAAAGAACACTTAAACAACGCACGCTAAGTCCAAGTAAAGCAAACTTTTGTGAAGCACATTCAACTCTGTACAGAACAAAGTACTCAATGTGAATATTTCATTTATTAAGATCGGGAGTTAGCGTGCGTTGTTTAAGTGTTCCCTTTATTTTTTTTGAGCAGTAGTGTTCCCTTTATTTTTTTGAGCAGTGTTTTTAAAAATCGTACATTGTATTTTTCTGGATTTTTGTTTTAGATTCCATCACTCACAGTTGAAGAGTACCTATGATAAAAATTACAGTCTTTTACAAGCTTTGCAAGTGGGAAAACCTGAAAAATCAATTGTGTATCAAATACTTGTTCTCCCCACTGTAGCTGCTTCACTCCACCCCTCTGCCTGATTTTTGTGAAAAAGCAAAGGAGTAGTGATTGTCTCTATGGTTCAAGAGAAAAAAAAAGATATTACAAGGAAATAAACTACAAACGGCTCTTTACTRTCAGCGACTTGGTTCTTATTAGTTTTACACCTCTAAAAGTCTGTACAATAAGCTAAAATGGGAATATCTCTGGATTTAAATTTTAAAAATCTGGTCAATTTAACTTTGTTGCTTGTCATTTAAAGTATATTTTTAACCAAACTATGTCAACAAAAACTAATTCATCCATTATATTGTTGAGGCTTTTTAAGTCTTATTCATAGATCAAAGTTAAGGCTTAACAAAAGTCCTAAAAATGTCTGGGTACTGAAATAAAAACAACTTTGACAGATTTTATTAACTTTTTATCACATTACAGGAAATTTAGATTTCTTGGGAGAAAAAACAAAAAGATGAGGTATTATTTAAGCTTTTTTGTGTGTTTAAGTTCAGACAGATTTAGAGGAATAACCAGACTTTTCTGACTGGAAACTGAAAGTGGAACCAGTTTTGCGTTAATGTGTAATAGTTTGAAGCTGTCAAATCAGGAGTATTTACTRAGTGGTGTGTTATAGAAAACACAGAATTTACCTTCATGTGTACATCTCTGGATAAAATGTATACATTTAATTTATTAAACTATCCACAACCTGATTCAACTGAAGCAGCTTCAATGCCCCATAATTTTACAAACACAAAGATCGATTCAGTGTCACTAAATACGCAGGTCACTAAAGGTCAGACGTGTAAACTGGAAAATCATTTTCTGTCAGAGCTGGAACTACCGGAGAAGCTAAACGACAAACATTTGATCAAGTTAACGAGAACGATGAGCCGGGGGAGGAAAAGGTTGGCCGGATGACAGGAGTCGGATTCCAAAAGCAAAGACAAAAGACGGAGGGGAATCGTTACCTGACGACTGMAGGAATTAACGGACGGACAGGTTTATATTACAGAGTTTTAGCAACGATCCACATCAAACAGACGGATTGGACACGGCAGGAACAAAATGGATTTGCTGCGAGGAGAAATTAAGATATTTCACTTTCTTCAGAAATATAAGTGCATGTTCAGGCTGTTGGCAGCCAGGAGGAGTGAGGAAAAATGGGTGACCTTTAAAATAAAAGCAGATATTGTCTCAGACATTTTATATTTTACATTACCACTCAGTTGGAATGTCTGTGTGTGTGTGTGTGTGTGTGTGTGTGTGTGTGTGTGTGTGTGTGTGTGTGTGTGTGTGTGTGCGCGATACCATCTGATTACGTTTCATAAAATTTTTTTAAACCATTTTCCTTTCTGTAAATGTCAAAAACGCCAGATCTGCCCATCGTTTTCTGGAACAATGTGACACATTTGGAGACTGAACRAGTTTCTCAAAGAGACTTCGGGCTTCTGATGTGTGAGAGTTTCTAACGTGGCTGTTTGGAGTCGTGAAAAGAAAAGACAGGGAGATGAAGCAGGACGTAGCAATTACACAGCGTTCATTTTTTCCTTCAACATCCCCTTGAAGAAACTCAAACTGTCACATGAAACCAATAATTTGGCAGAATTCATGTCTTGATGGCTAAATTTCTATGTAGGCTACTTTGAAATGGGCTTTTTAAGTGTCTATTTCTTGGACTTTTAGTAAAAAAAGAAACAAAAATCAAAGCAATCCAAGAATTTTATTAAACCTGAATTGTATTTTGGTCGTTTATTTAATACATTAAAGTGCAAAAATGATTGACATAAAAAATAGATAAGATTGGAGGGAAAAAACTACAGTACCTTGGATCTGAAGGGCTCGGGGAATCCACCATGCGGTATTCCAATGTATCCCTGCAGGAATTCGACCACAGATTGTGGGAAAGACAACTCGTCGGCCCTCTCCTCCACCTCCGCTCTGGTCAGGTTGTTCTGGACCATGAACTGAGCCAGATCCCCCACGATCTTAGAAGATGGAGTCACCTGAGGATGAAAGACGTGTCARTCAGTAAAGCCGGGTYTGATTTTTAACCCAATCTTTCAATCTTAAGGACACTCCGATCATCGTGATGGCTCTAAAGATATGGGCGGTCTCAGGTTTTGAAAATAAGTTGACAATTTTAAACCTGGCCTTTATTTCTTTGATACATGACTGAAGTTCTTAAAATCTGACAATAAACCAAATTTCTCTCATTCTGGAGATTATACCGGAGACATTGCTGTGATTTTAAACAGCTTAATATTCCTTTCTGCAAAAAGTAGTAGCTGCCAGGCAACATCATTTATCTCTTTGTAGTCCTGCTGGGTGTTCTCCTGTCAGCCGTACACAGGTAGGACTGAACATTCACAGCCGGCGACAGATCTGCTGTATTAATGAAGAWACCGTCGACAGAGATTTAGTGCTGAGCGAACACGGAAAGAAAAGGTGTTTACATCCAGGCGGCCCCTTAAATCTGTTTGCTAACACCACAGACAACCTGAAAAAGGAAGATAAAGGGGCGCAAAAAAGATAAATTAAAATCACGTATTCTTCCTTTATTTTTAATGGTGCATCGTTATGCTAATAGATGTATCTATTAGCATAATGATGATAAGTTGAGTTTTTTTTTAAATTTTGGCCTGAAAGCGGGACACCGATGCCAGCATCAATTAAAAACATTACTCTTCTTTTGTAATGACTGCAGAGACAGATTTRAGATGTTCAGACTTCTCTCTTTTTGTTTTATAAAACTAAGTTGTACTGCAGGTTTTACTGCACAGTCATGGTATAAACGTTACTCATGTAGAACCTCATTTTAATTTGTAACAAACCATATTAACAATGCATGCAACCATTTTACTTCATAAGACAGCTTAATTTYAGTACACTAATATCTTAAAACTATGAACCAATGTTCTTTCTTGAAAGCTTTGTTTTTTTGTATTAAATCATCATTAATTTGCATTAAAATGGCCTCACATGCAAGACTCTTGAACTTGAATCCACAAATTTCTGTATCATTAGGAATTTGAAGGTGGAGAACTGTAGTGAAGAACACTTTAGGAGGATCCTGAGGGTAGGGTGGGTTACAGAGTGGTGTTGTCATCAGAAAACACCTCAACACTATACAACAGGTGGGTGAGGACSTTTCTAAATTCAGCAAAGCTTACACTTCTGAACAATGACTTCGTGACATGAAAAGCAGGAAAARAAAGTTGCATATGTCCAAGAAAAGTATTGAGGACAAACAACGGAGCAAAGACATCTTGAAAAACAGAAACATAACTAGATGCAGGATAGCAGGAGCATATATGATCCCTGCACATATGCAAAGCATCAATGCACCAGATGCCCTGGATAGCCCTTCATCAGAGCTAAACAACAAAAAAAATCTGCAGCTCCTATGTTGAACAGTTTGAGTYATAAACATTTTTGTTCGTTCAGACACCCCCTTTTCTGATGGAGCCCCCTCCTTAAATACGGGGTCTATCATAAAACCGTTGGATGGCRCAGTGTAGGTCAGACTCATCTACATTACTACCAAATTTTACTGATCAGTGCAGCCGTTTCTGTGACCAAAGATCCAGTACGAAAACAATATGAGCTCCACTTCATGTGCGGGGGGTCATAAAGGTCTAGGATTCCTTACAGAAATGCATTTTCCCCATTGTGTCCTTGAGTTTTATATTAAGACCATTTATGTTGAGAAATGGCAGAGTTGTAGCCAATTTCAGTCAAACTCTGAACACATTTTGGATTCCTAGATTACAGGACTTTCCAGATTTTCACCTCACTGAAAACGTGTACATTATAGTCTATCTGCCATGTGTCGAGGCGCAGAGCTACCAAAAAAAMCCCTCCCACTGATATACGTCACTGCACAGAGTTTCCTTAGGTTGGGGTCTACAGTCGTTCGAAAAAAACTAAAAACAAAAACTGATGTTCTCCGGTATTTGTCAACAAATCTGTCCAGGTGAAAGCTCCACAGTTACTGGCACAATGTCTGTTTTATCTCCATCCATTTAACTCTCTTTATAAATATCTGCTTCCAGGTACAACAGTCGGATTCTGGAAGAAAGTAGTTGAAGCAAAATGCAGCGTCAACGCTTTCAGCATCAACAAACACGCCCACAAACTTTTGACCAACAGTAATTTCATATGTGAAAAGRTTCATCATGAAACTGCAACAATGAGAGATGATTTCAGCAGTTCAGATGGAGCATGTGGATGCATTAATTCTGATCAACTTTAAGGACTGAAAAGAYGAGAACAAATCAGTATCAGTCAAGATTTAGTTGAAATCCAGCAAGTTAGARTAATAAAACCATGACTGCTCTCCAGGAGAACAGATCAAATGGAGAATAGAAGCTACACCAGACACACAAACCTCTACTAAATTAAAAACATCATCTTATTTTAGATGTTTCTAAGAGAGGGCAGAATCCTGTTTAAACCCAACCTTTAGTTGATAAGCTGTGAACTTAAACACTGACAGCTGAGGGGCTGCAGAGACCACCGAACTGCCTCAAATTCTGCAAGACGGCTGKTTTTTCTCTGGCAATTAGTGCAGCTAGAAATAATAAAAAAAAAAAAAACTGAAGGAAAATGAATGAACAAATATGGATCGTGTTTCCCAGAGGAATTCCTAAAACAAAGACCTGGACACATTTCATGTGCTGCCAAAATGTCCTCGGCGAGACGAGGACGACKTCTCCCTGTGGGATTTCTACAATCCTCCAGGGTTTAAGAGCTCATTAGGAACGATAAAAGAAATACTTTCTGATAAACGAAAACAAACATGCACTTCCTGGTTGCACCTGAAGCTTAGGTGATGTCTACAGAAATGCTTAAGAGATTTGAAATGTTTGCTGGAATCCCTGAGAGGGAAAAAAAAGAGGGGGATAAGATCCTGAACAAGAAGCCAAGAGGGAAAAAATGAAATAAAAGTGAAAGAATGAAGCATTACTGTGCATCCYGAATCTCTAGTATCTGTCGTTTTCCTCCTCACACTGCAAAGATTTACCGCTCGTCTCATTAGTCAGCTTTATAAATGATCCGTCACAGAAGACGTCAACGTTTTACACTATTTTAGAATCACTTTATCCCCGGCTCTCTATCCTACAGCCCGTTTGACTTTTTTTTTTCCTCTCGATCCACAGTAAGATCAAGAGTGTTAATATTGGTTGATGAATCACCCACCTCTGACTCTCTCTGGGTGAATTACACACACACAAAAAAAATCTTATCAGCTGAGAATGAGCTTCGTATGATGTGTGAGCTTCTCAATAACTTCAGATGGGTTTGTGGAGAAAATCAAATCCTAGTCTGATCAAAAACCTACTCATGCGAAGAAGCAACAAGATAAGACTGAGCTCTCCTTACAAATAAGGATCCAAAAAACAAACAAAAAAATAAAACTATAATGCTGATAAAGACAAACGATCGATAAGTYAATGTGGGAAAAAATATACATATATATTACCCTGATCTAGACCAGATTGTGTCTGGCCTGCCAATGAGGCCCTGCTTTAGTCTGCTTAGAGACTGTCTGCCATGAAGGATTTTAATACAAGTCGCCACAACATGTTGCACAAAGCTAAATATGAGARGTTTACTGAAGTCGTAACAGACTTTTTACCTGAACCATGCAGGAGCCTGCACTCAGTGTTTTATGTCATTACACTTCAGCTCTCTAAAGCAGAGGTTCTCAAACTGGGGTCCCAGGACCCCCAGGTGTCCGTGAGCGGTATCTTGGGGGTCCTCAAAAAATTTCACTAAATAGTTATTTTGGTATTTATTTTTAATAATGCATTGACAACAATAAACTAATAAAACAAACTAATTAAAATATATATTCCCATGGCATTTAGGGGTTAAAATGACAGTAAATTATCTTTTTTAACAGTATGGGGTTTATGAGGGGGTCCCTGGAATTTTTTCACCCTTGTAAGGGGTACCCAGACTTAAAAACATTTGAGAACCCCTGCTCTAAAGTGTTTAATTTTTGTTTGCTTCAAATGATTTTGTATTTATATTTCTTAAGCAAGAGTACAACTGTTATACATGTATTTAAGCATGAAATATGCTACATTACGGCAYCGTATGTTGGTTTAATAAACATATATGTAGRCATATTATAACTGGGCACATGTGCAGCGCTGTGTGGCCCTCTGGTAGTGTTGACAAAAAACTGTGGCCCCTTCCATCATGAAAGTTGCTAATCCCTCAGATAGACAATCAAATTGAATCTGGAAGTTAATGCTGGTTCAGAACTTTAAGCTCCGCCCCCTTCATAACAACTGCCWTGTTGACATTGTTGATTCACATACTGGTAGTTCTTCCTGCTGCGGTTTGTCCAAATATTYGATTTTTTAATACAGTTTGTCTAATTCAAGCTACTTCTTGCTTTAAAAGGCAAACATTTCATGCAAAGTCCACTTTTTAGCATTTAAACGCATTTTGTTGTGAACTTGGAGTCTCTACGAGTGCAGAAAAATTTAACTTAGTTTCTCCCAGTGCTGGGAGGATATCTATATATTCTGTTTGATTCATATTAATCAACCTGTTCAGTTTTCTTCATTCCCTCACAGTATTTGAGGTGGAGCTGMTAAACAAAGTCATGGATTTACACGTAAATTCATCAAATCCGCCATTTTTATTTCTCAGAGTGACTTTGTATCCAAGTTCCAGGACGCCAAAGCTACAAGTGGATGGACAAGTCTTCTGTTGTTGACATATTTTCATTAATTTTTAAATAAAAAGTTTGAGTTGCTAGATAACCATATCTCTTTCAAACCACAAAAATGGCAGTGGTGGAATGGACGATGATCACTGGGTGTGAGACCTGGAGGGGGGCGGGGTGTGAAGCATCTCGTTTGCATTTAAAGATACAGCACCAAAACGAGTTGCTCCCAGATGAACCTCACAAAAGGGGTGAAAGCGGGGTTTGTGGAGCTACAATATCCAGGAATTTAGACCAAAGCATTGCTGTTTGACTTTGTAT